GCCCCCGAAGGTTTTAAACAAATAACAAATTTTTTCAGGATTTCAAATATACCCAAATTTTTTTGTTTTCGGGGATGACAAGAAGTGAAACGTGTGGGGCACTTTCCCCGTTTTCAGAAAATTTCCAAAAAACAAAAACCCTTTTTTTTAAACCCTTTTTTACCCTTAAAAGTTTTTTCGCTGATTTAAAAATTTGGGTTAAAAAATGTTTAAAAAAAAGGGCCCTTAAAATTTTGCAAAACCTTTTTTACCCAAACCCCCCTATATTGAAAAGCCACCCGCATTTCCCCCGCCCCCAGCAGCTGCACATATTCCCCCTTAATTAAAAAAGCCAACCCCCGGGGGGAACCACAGTGCCAGAAGGGGGGCAAGAAATTTTTTTTAAATTTATGGGCATTTTGGGGCCCCCAAAATACCCCCTCACCTCTTCCCTTTTGGTCCGTTTTTAATTTAAAAATAGAAAAAAATTTAAAGTCATGTTACCTCCCAAGAATCCCCCTCCCACCTCCTCCGCATGTCACAAGTTAGGGTTGCAAACCCTTTGGTTTACTCTTACCTCCTTTTTTTTCTCTTAAAATTTCCCCTTTACTTGGTTGTTCCCGTTTCTCACCCCGTGGGGGGTCCGGCCGCTATTCCCTGGGTTTTATGTCCCCTTTCCCCTTTCCCTCACTTCCCCGTCCCGCCTCCTTTCAGGCCCTTTCCTTTAAATTTTAAAAAGTCCCAGACTAGGCCACATTTTCCTGACAAAAATTTTTGTTGTTGGATCCCCCAGTTATTTCATCTTTTTTTTTGTTCCATTGTTATCTTTTTGTTGTACCAGCCAGCCCGGCTTTGTTTCTGACCTTGCTATATTTTCCGCCTATCCTGAACCCTTATCTGTGCCCATGTGGATTCCCGTTGTCCTTCGACCCTTGCACCCACTTTATGGGCTACCCGCTAGTGGACTGCGCCACCCATGCTGGGTGTAAACTGGGGGCCGCTACTCCTTGTCCCTGCCCTGCAGCAAGACTATCCCCAACCATCAGGGCCCTGGTGACCAAGAACAGGCTGAGGGCTTAGATATTCCGCGCCCTGGGTAACCCAAGCTGTGGTTTCATAAAGAGCACAACTACCTATACTACCATAGACGTGACAAAAGGTCAGGTCCCTGTTTAATTAATAGAAAATAGGAGTTATGTCATTTTGAACCTCCAGAATCCCCCCTCACCTCTCTCTGGTCAGATCTGTGTTCTTAATACTAGAGAAAGGAATGATGTCATCTGACCTCCCAGAATCCTCCTCACCTCTCCAGTCAGGTCCATGTTTTATTAATAGAGATAACAGTGATGTATCATGTTGACCTCCCAGAATCCTCTCTCACCTCTCCATTCAGCAGGTAGATGATCTCCAGGGTGAGGTCTAATATCCGCTCCACTACACGTCTCCGCTCCGTCTCCATGCTCAGTTCAGCTGACCTACTTCCTTTATATAAACTAGTTTTAGAATTGGAGGAGATAAACAGTAAAAAATAAGAAAGAAGCATAGATTTTTATTGTTGATATTTAACCCCTACCCACCCACCCCGGTGTCCCTTTACCACTTAGCCCTGTGTCCCTTTATCCACTTGACCTCCAGGCCTTTTTCTGACACTTTTGTTTATATGTAAAAATCAATATTTATATTATATACATTTTTATAATTATTTTATTTTTTTGTTATTTTTTAAAGCAGAGCTAGAAAATAAATTGGTGGGTTTTGCAAATTTTTTTTTATGTCACACGATATTTGTGCAGTGGTTTTTCAAATTGTAATTTTTTGGGGAAAAAAACTGTATTTTTGAATTGTAATGCAAAAAAAAAACAGAAGAGATAATCCATTTTTTTTGTAAAATATAAAAGATTGATGTAACGGTGAGTAAATAGATACCAAACATGTCACGCTTTTAAAATTGCATGCGCCCATGCAACGACGACGAACCACATAAATTTTACTATCTCGGGTGATGCTTTAAAAGCCTTTACAGGTTACCGTTTTAGATTTCGGTGTGGTGCCAGAATTGCTGCCCATGATCTGACATCCGCAGTGATACCTCACGTGTGGGACAATCACTGTTTGCATGCGTGTGGGACCGACTCGTGCATTTGGCTTTGTGTGTGAGCATGAGGGGGACGGGGGCAACTTACATTTAATTTTTTTGTTTATAATCAATAATTATATTTTATTTGTACACTATTTCTTTAATTTATTTTGATGACTTTTATTGCTGTCACGAGGAATGTAAACATCCTTGTGACAGGCAATAGACATGTGACAGGTCCTCTTTATGGTAGATCTGGGCTCTATAAGACCCCAAGTCCCTCCTCTGCACTTAAAAGCTTTCGAAACACCAAGATCTGTGTTTTTGAATGCTTTACATTTTTTAAAAATGGGGCCATTTAGTTCTGAGTAAACCGGAAGCAGCGGCGGACTGAGCATTTGGGAACTCGGGCAGTGCCCGAGGGCCCGGGGTCAGAAGGGGGCCCCATGAGATGCCCCTGGTACCTTATTCATAGGCTTTTTGGGTGTGGTTTGAGTGTGAGCAAGGACACAGGGGCCCCAAGGTCCCCTAATGCCCGGGGGCCCCATGAGTTGTCAGTCCGCCCCTGACCGGAAGTGACCACCACTTCCGGGTTACTATAATGGACAACCGCTCAAAGCCGATCCTGACTTTGGTCGGTTGTCCGGCCAGTCGGCGGACGTGCTGGTTGGTCGCTCGGGTCTCTCGGACAGGTACGAAAGTGGTTAAAGAGTTTCAAACACGTGGCTTGGGAGCAGGAAGGATTGGCAATCATGACTGTCACTGTGGTCAGATGATCGGGAGCCAGTCCCGGCAGCTAGCACTCATTAGTCTGGATCAAGATCTGTCTTTGACAGCTCAGTCTCTGTGCTAGCAGTGTGTAGTGAGCGTACTCTTGGCACAGAGATATCAGCCGGCAAAGTATATGTGCAGTGTATGGGCGTTAAAGTCCACCCATTTACCACCGCACATACGTGTTACGTGGGCAGCAACGGGTTAAAGAGAGAGGGAGAGCAAATACAGACTCTTACCTTCTCCTACTGAGCGCACACTCTCCAGGCTCACTGCTCCTGCCCGTTCCTGCTACTCTGGCCTACAACAAAATGGCCACTGTGCCATATATATACACACACACAAACAAACGATTAACAATATATTACAGATTTGTTTCTGCATTCAGATATGATTCTTATAATAAAAAAGGCTTTAGTACCTCCTCTCCATTCACAATCCCCAGACTGATCATGCATCAGAAATAGCTGCTTTCTTCTTTGGTCTACAACAAAATGGCCACTGTGCTCCCACACATAGAACAATAGCCAACATGTTACAGTTTTATTTCTTCATTTAAATAACCCTCTCATAATAATAATAATACAATTTTTTTTTTACCTCCTCCTCAATAAACACACAATTTCCAGCCTGAACACACATCAGGAATGTCTTTCTTCTGTGGTCTACAACAAAATGGCTACCTCCTGCAGTGAGGACATTTTTTGTCCCCTTATTGACAACATTGTTTTTTTATCCGATTAGAAGTAAGCAGACATGGGTTACTGCATTCCAGTGACGCATACAGTTCCCCTACTTTTCTAAATATAATTAGAAACAAATTGTGTGCTACAAGAAAATGGCCACTTCCTCTCCTTCATTGAGGACATTTTGCCCCCCTCTATTTTTCCTCTAGTATTTGCTCTGCCCCAGAGCCACCTTTAGAGGTTAAATGTCCTATGAAAGGACAAAGTCGCTATTTCGTTGTAGCCTAGAGCAAGCATTGTATGTCCATTTTCTTGTAGCCCAGAGTCAAATGGCATTGTGGCCATTTAGTTTTATTCCTGCATTTAGATACTCCTCTCATAATAATACAATTTTTTTTACCTCCTCTTCCTCAATAAAAACACTATTTCCAGCCTGAACACACATCAGGAAGGTCTTTCTTCTTTGGACTACAACAAAATGGCTACCTCCTTCATTGGGGACAATTTGTTCCCATATTGGTAATATTGTTTCATATAAAATTAGAAGCAGACACGGGTTACTCCAGTCCAATGACACACACACAAAGTTTGCCACTTTGCTAAATATAATTAGAAACAATTTTTATGCTACAAGAAAATGGCCACTTCCTCTCCTTCATTGAGGACACTTTGTGCCCCTGTATTTTGCCTCTAGTGTTTGCTCTGCCCCAGAGCCACCATTAGAGGTTTCATGTCCTGCAAGGGGGACACAGTTGCTATTTAGTTGCAGCCTAGAGCAAGCATTGTTGTTCCATTTTCTTGTAGCCCAGAGCCAAATAGACTTGTGGCCATTTAGTTTTATTCCTGCATTTAGATACTCCTCTCATATTAATAATAATACAATTTTTTTTTTTATCTCCTCCTCAATAAAAACACTATTTCCAGCCTGAACACTCACCAGGAAGGTCTTTTCTTCTTTGGGTTACAATAAAATGGCTACCTCCTTCATTGAGGACACTTTGTACCCCTGTCTTTTGCCTCTAGTATTTGCTATGCACCAGAGCCACCATTAGAGGTTTCATGTCCTGCGAGGGGGACAAAGTTGCTATTTTGCTGTAGCCTAGCCCTAGATCAAGCATTGTTGTGTCCATTTTCTTATAGCCCAGAGCCAATAGGGTCCATTTTGTTGTAGGTCACAGTAGGAAGGGGTGGAGCTCCAGTAGTTGTTTGAGGCTGGAGAGTGGCTGGTTAGTGAGGAGGAGGAAGCTATTACGTTCATACTGCTTGACCTAACAGAGCGATCTCCCCCTGCGTATGTCCCCATCCCTCCCCCCTCTCTCTCTTTATATTTTGAAGTAGGATGCTTGAGCGTACGTCTTATATGCTTTGCCTCTTATCATTACAGATATCTTGTAATTAAAGGAACACTCCAATCCAGCAGAACGCCCAAATTGAAGGCCAGAACTGTTTTTCGGGGAAAGGCCTTGAAACAGATCACCTGACCGAAAATGGAGAAGGAGCCAAGTCACGTGACTGAGAGGATATTAAACCTCACCCTGGAGATCGTCTACCTGCTGACCGAAGAGGTGAGGACCAAAGAGGTTGCTGGGATTATAAAAGACCTGGAGGACCCTGGGTAGGATCATGAGCAGCAGAGACATTTCTTGCTCCGTAGCCAAGCAAGGGAATGCCCCCGCTGCTTACGATTGGCTGTTGGGATGGCTCACGCGGGTCAAGCTCATCCCTAACCCTGGGGAAAGCGATGATGAGGCGCACGGGCGTGGATGTGACATTTACACTCTCGGCCTCACCCTGCCCAGAGATTTTCCAGCTTGCAGGACAACAATCTAAGCACCAGCCGGCTGGGAATGATTGTTATTGGGGTGGAGCAAACAAGCGGAAATCTCTTTATACATACAGTGTAGCGCCCACCACTGATTTTAAAGCAGCATTAAACCCGAAAGAAAACATTCATTATATTGCAGCTTCCCAATTCTTAGATGTGATGGCTGCATTAGTTTCCTTTATTTTTAGGCTTTCTTTCTTTTCTTTTCATCTGGTGATCCAGCCAAGACCCTGCATTCACTGTCCACTCTCCCCGGACCCTGCATTCACTATGTCCGCTCTCCCTGGACCCTGCATTCACCATGTCCGCTCTCCCTGGACCCTGCATTCACTATGTCCGCTCTCCCTGGACCCTGCATTCACTATGTCCGCTCTCCCTGGACCCTGCATTCACTATGTCCGCTCTCCCTGGACCCTGCATTCACTATGTCCTCTCTCCCCTGGACCCGCATTCACTATGTCCGCTCTCCCTGGACCCTGCATTCACTATGACCGCTCTCCCCGGACCCCCGCATTCACTATGTCCGCTCTCCCCGGACCCCGCATTCACTATGTCCGCTCTCCCCGGACCCCGCATTCACTATGTCCGCTCTCCCGGACCCCGCATTCACTATGTCCGCTCTCCCCGGACCCCGCATTCACTATGTCCGCTCTCCCCGGACCCCGCATTCACTATGTCCGCTCTCCCGGACCCCGCATTCACTATGTCCGCTCTCCCCGGACCCCGCATTCACTATGTCCGCTCTCCCCGGACCCCGCATTCACTATGTCCGCTCTCCCCGGACCCCGCATTCACTATATCTGCTCTCTCCCGGACCCCGCATTCACTATGTCCGCTCTCCCCGGACCCCGCATTCACCATATCTGCTCTCCCCGGACCCTGCATTCACTATATCTGCTCTCCCCCAGACCCCACATTCATTATATCCGCTCTCCCCGGACCCTGCATTCACTATATCCAGTCTCCCCTGGACCCTGCATTCACTATATCCGGTCTCCCTGGACCCTGCATTCACTATATATCCGCTCTTCCTGGACCCTGCATTCACTATATCCGCTCTCCCCGGACCCTGCATTTACTATATTTGCTCTCTCCCCGGACCCTGCATTCACTATATCCGATCTCCACGGACCCTGCATTCACTATATCCGGTTTCCCCTGGACCCCCCGCATTCACTATATCCGCTCTCCCTGGACCCTGCATTCACTCTATCCGCTCTCCCTGGACCCTGCATTCACTATGTCCGCTCTCCCTGGACCCTGCATTCACTATGTCCGACCCTCTCCCGGACCCTGCATTCACTATATCCGCTTCCCCGGACCCTGCATTCACTATATCTGGGCTGCTCTCCCCGGACCCTGCATTCACTATATCCTGCTCTCCCCGGACCCTGCATTCACTATATCCGCTCTCCCCGGACCCTGCATTCACTATATCCGCTCTCCCCGGACCCTGCATTCACTATATCGCTCTCCCCGGACCCCGCATTCACTATATCGCTCTCCCCTGGACCCTGCATTCACTATATCTGCTCTCCCTGGACCCTGCATTCACTATATCCCTGACCCTGCATTCACTATATCCGCTCCCTGGACCCTGCATTCACTATATCCCGCTCTCCCGGACCCTGCATTCACTATATCCGCTCTTCCCGGACCCTGCATTCACTATATCCGCTCTTCCTGGACCCTGCATTCACTATATCCCCTGGACCCTGCATTCACTATATCCGCTCTCCCTGGACCCTGCATTCACTATATCTGGTCCCCTCCCTGGACCCCGCATTCACTATATGGACCCCGCTCTCCCTGGACCCTGCATTCACTATATCCGCTCTCCCTGGACCCTGCATTCACTATATCCGCTCTCCCCTGTATACCCTGGACCCTGCATTCACTATATCCGCTCTCCCTGGACCCGCATTCACTATATCCTCTCTCCCTGGACCCCGCATTCACTATATCCGCTCTCCCTGGAACCTGCATTCACCTCTCCCCGGACCCCGCATTCACTATATCCGGTCTCCCTGGACCCTGCATTCACTATATCCGGTCTCCCCGGACCCTGCATTCATTATATCTGCTCTCCCAGGACCCTGCATTCACTATATCTGCTCTCCCTGGACCCTGCATTCACTATATCTGCTCTCCCCGGACCCTGCATTCACTATATCTGCTCTCCCCGGACCCTGCATTCACTATATCCGCTCTCCCCGGACCTTGCATTCACTATATCCGCTCTCCCCGGACCTTGCATTCACTATATCCGCTCTCCCTGGACCCTGCATTCACTATATCCGGTCTCCCTGGACCCTGCATTCACTATATCTGGTCTCCCTGGACCCTGCATTCACTATAACTGCTCTCCCCGGACCCTGCATTCCATTTATCCGCTCTCCCACAGTGCACAGAACATGGAAATGCTAAATACCTTTTCTCATCCGCAGTATATAGCAGTCTTATGACTTCTATCAGTGTCCAGCTGGGTACTGGTTAATCTTGTAGGAGGAGTTTTCATGCTCCTCTGACTGTCCTATGAAGCTGCATAACCCTTGACCCTCTGTCTGAACAGTTCTGATTGGCCCTGTGCTGATCACGTGCACCCTCCTAAAAAAGGAAAAACTCTCTAGCAATGCAAACTAAACTGAGCATTTGCAGAGTGCCTCCTAGAGATTTGTTCTGTCAGCAGATAGATTGGGGACAGTAGAAGAAGGGAGGATCAGAGACGTCAAGATCTAACATCCTTTTTACACAATGCAGAGGATTAACCCCTTAGGTTCCACAGTGAGTATAACAAGCATGCTTTACTGCATATATAGACTGATTGTACTGCTTTGGGTTTAGGAACACTTTAACTTCTTCCCTCCGGTCCGTACTCATATGTGCAGCCTCTCAGTGGGTGGGTCTTAATGCAGAGAGGCCGCCTATATGTATACCTAAAGGTAAAAAGAAGTGTGCCAAGAGCGCTCCTGGCTCAGTTAGTGGCAGCTAGCTCTACTTGTGATCGGGAGCTTTCCGATCATGTGACCACGGTGACAGCCAATCACGGTGAAATAAGGAGGAGCAGACTTCGCTCAAGACCGGCCCTGTGAGCGTCCTTAGTCCATTCCAGTGTCTGGGGTGAGATAAGGGAGAGCGGACGCCACTCAAGACCAACCCCGGGAGTCCAGCGTGTTGTATGTGTGTGGTGGCCTCAGCACCATGCTAACCATGCCCACTGATGCGTTTTGCCTCACCCATCGGGGCTTGGTCACAGAGGCGTGGTGCTGAGGTCACCCCCCCACACATACAACACACTGGACTCCCGGGGTTGGTCTTGAGTGGTGTCCGCTCCCCCTTATCTCACCCCAGACACTGGAACGGACTAATGACGCTGCTCCCTTCCTTCCCATGCCGTTGGGGTGATCCTATCTGCTTATCTGGCTTTGGAGCGGCACCATTAAGCTTTACACATGGTTTGCGTAGCCAATCGCGGTGGTCTCATGATCAGAAACCCCGCCTCCCGAACATCTGAAAACCCTTATTGAGGTTAAAATGATCAGCTTTTATTCATTCATGTAAAACCTGTCTGCTGTGTCCTGTACTCATTCCTCCAGAGTGGTGTCTCACTAATGCTGGATGTGTGTTACTGGCCTGATCACCATGCGAAAACATGCGAGGGGGAAAAAGGCCAAAGAAAAGAAAACAGGTGCAGTCACCACATCTAATGTTTGGTAAGCTGCAATATCCTACATTTTTGGGTTTAATAACGCCGTAACAGAAACCAGCACCGCTCACAGAGTCCAATGATGCAATATCTGTATTACTCACTGCCACATCCAGACAGGAATGTGAAAGAGTTTACACCATGGTAGCTTCTTCAAAGAGTTCTCTGTTTCAGTTAGAGATCAGCTTAATGATTTTGATCATCTTAAATATCATTTAAGATTGTTTGATCGCTTCCCCTCCGCCCTATAGCAGAAGTACTGCTACAGGGCGACAGGGCTGCGCAGAATCACGTCTGTGTGTGTATGTATATATATATATGTGTGTGTGATTTGCCTTTCTGGGTAGGGGCGTGCACGCCACCCTACCTGCGCCGCCATTGGCGGCTCCAGATTTCAATCACCAGGTCCCGGCCAGAGATTCCCCGCTGGCACCCGGCGATCGCCGAGTAACACTGACAGGGGAGAGACCTGTGTATAATCAGTAAAGGTCTCTCCCCTGTCAGCAAGGACATGCTGCTTTGTATCTCTCTGCACCACATGTATCCCTAGTAAAAAAACACACACAACACACAGTTAACCCTTTGATCGCCCCAGATGTCAACCCCTTCCTGCCCAGTGCCATTAGTACAGTGTCAGTGCTTTTTATTAGCACTGATCACTGTGTTGGTGTCACTGGAGATGTCAGTGACACCAAGTCAGTTCCCCCACCAGTGTCAGAATGCCCACCGCAGTCCCGCTATAAGTCGCCGATCGGCGCCATTACTAGTATAAAAAAAAATGCCAGTATCTATACCGCCATTTGTAGACGCTATAACTTTCACGAAAAACAATTAATTTACACGTATTGGGATTTTTACACGTATTGGAAGTGCATTATCCAGGAGTATGCAAAGTACAGCTGAGCTTGCAGAGTGCAGTGGCCAAGAGTATGCAAAGTACAGCTGAGCTTGCAGAGTGCAGTGGCCAGGAGTATGTAATGTACAGCCCATTGTACAAAGTGCGATAGGAATTTGTAAAGTACAGCCCAGCATACAAAGCGCAGTGGTCAGGTTTATGTATTCTGGAGGGTCACATGACATCACTGTTAGTAAAACACAGACCCGACAGGATGAGCATATAACATTGTATGGATATTTATCTCCATGGACAACACAACCTGATACTTTTTCTTTACTTGTAGAATTATATAGCCTTTAAGATATCTGATGGCTTGGTTGCTTCCAAAGAAATGAAGACCCAAAGTCAAGTGGAGCCTCCATCTCCACCCCCAAGCAACAAGGAGGTCCAGGAAGTCACCAGCGAGATCAATGAGCTACTAAACGGAGAGGTGAGGAGGATTCTGGGAGGTCACATGACATCACTCTTATCACTGATAATAGAACATAGAGTTGACTGAATAGGTGAGGAGGATTCTGGGAATGTCAAACACAAACCTTAATGGAGGTTTTACAGACCTTGTTATTGTTCACTGCTAAAACAAATTAAAGGAAGTCTTTGTAATCTAGCATCAAGTCCATGACACTCCTTGGATATTGATCTGGTCAGTTAAGTAGCAGAGGGGGGTTGTTATTGAGTTTCAGCTGCTTTGGTGTTCATAAAATTAACAACAGGTGCACTAGATGGGCAACAATGAGATGACCCCCAAAACAAGAATGGTTTTACAGGTGGAGGCCACTGATATTTTTTTCCCTACTCATCTTTTCTGACTGTTTTTCACTAGTTTTGCATTTGGCTAAGATCAGTGTCACTACTGGTAGGATGAGGCCATACCTGGACCCTACAGAGGTTGAACAGGCAGTCCAACTCCTCCAGGATGGCACATCAATACGTACCATTGCCAGAAGGTTTGCTGTGTCTCCCAGCACAGTCTCAAGAGCATGGAGGAGATTCCAGGAGACAGGCAGTTCTTCTAGGAGAGCTGGACAGGGCCGTAGAAGGTCCTAACCCATCAGCAGGACCGGTATCTGCTCCTTTGTGCAAGGAGGAAGAAGATGGGCACTGCCAGAGCCAGGGGCGGACTGACCATTTGGAAACTCGGGCACTGCCCGAGGGCCCGGGGTCAGTAGGGGGCCCCATGAGATGCCCCTGGTACCTTTTTCATAGGCTTTTTTGAGTTTGGGCAAGGACACAGGGGCCCCATGATCCCCTATTGCCCAGGGGCCCCATGAGTTGTTAGTCTGCCCCTGGCCAGAGCCCTACAAAATGACCTCCAGCAAGCCACTGGTGTGAATGTCTCTGACCAAACAATCAGAAACAGACTTCATGAGGGTGGCCTGAGGGCCCGACGTCATCTAGTGGGCCCTATGCTCACTGCCCAGCACCATAGAGCTCGATTGGCATTTGCCATTGAACACCAGAATTGGCAGGTCCACCACTGGTGCCCTGTTCTTTTCACAGATGAGAGCAGATTCACCCTGAGCACATGTGACAGACGTGAAAGGGTCTGGAGAAGCCGTGGAGAACGTTCTGCTGCCTGTAACATCGTTCAGCATGACCGTTTTGGTGGTGGGTCAGTGATGGTCTGGGGAGGCATATCCATGGAGGGATGCACAGACCTCTACAGGCTAGACAATGGCACCCTGACTGCCACTCGGTATCTGGATGAAATCCTTGGACCCATTGTCAGACCCTACGCTGGTGCAGTGGGTCCTGGGCTCCTCCTGGTGCATGACAATGCCCGGCCTCGTGTGGCGAGAATATGCAGGCAGTTCCTGGAGGATGAAGGAATTGATACTATAGAATGGCCCCCACGCTCGCCTGTCCTAAATCCAATAGAACACCTCCGGGATAGCATGTTTCGGTCCATCCGACGACGCCAGGTTTGCACCTCAAACTGTCCAGGAGCTCAGTGATGCCCTGGTACAAATCTGGGAGGAAATTCCCCAGGACACCATCTGTGGTCTCATTAGGAGCATGCCCCGACGACGTTGTCAGGCATGCATACAAGCATGTGGGGGCCATATACACTACTGAGTACCATTCTGAGTTGCTGCAATTACATTTCACCAAAATGGACATCAAACGATGGGGCATCCTTACGTTCCTAACACATTACCCAGTCCATATCAGTATAGATATCCAGCAGGAGATTTCTCCCCATTGAGATCTGATGGGTTTTCAAAGTGTTCCTTTAATGTTTTTGTGTGGTGTATTTACGAATTTAGGATATTTAGTCTGGTTCGGATGGTGGCATACTCGTGTTTTTTATTTTTTATGTAGAATTCTATAACTTTCAAGTTATCGAAAGGCTTCGTTGCCCCCAACTTGAAGACCCAAAGCCCTACAGCACAGCCTCCATCTCACTCCCTGGGAAAGAACAGGAATGTACAAGATGTCATCACAGAGATCATCGATCTGCTGACAGGAGAGGTGAGCGGTGCCGGGAATTCTGGGACATTCTCCAGTAACAGGACAAGGGATGTGTCTGGATGGTGACTGTATCATTGTGTGTGTCAGGTTCATACAAGGTGTCCTATTTTTCCATGTAGGAAGGACAATGTTTAGAAGGACACAAGGATCTGTACAAGGAGGTTATGATGGAGAACCATCCGCCGCTCACATTACCAGGTAAGAGAAGGCTTTCATTTCTCATAATACCTAGTACACACTAATAGACAATCGGGTGAACGATCGTTCACGTGTCCTCGGGCCCATGTGGAATATGAGGATGCCTAAAATGGTACAAACAATGGAGAACCAAGGACAGAGGACATCTTCCCGCATACGTAGCTACAGTCCATGTGTGCTGTGGTCGTGCATGAACTTGCTCGTTCAGTTTTTATAGGACGAATACTGTACTGATTAAACAAAAATCAAGAGGAGCTGAGACTTTTAATAAACAGACACTCATCTGCCCAAGGACCCAGCGCCATCCTTCCCCAGGCCGGTTCTTCACCGGTCTTCGGGTCTCCAGTGCCGGCATGTTCACTGTGGGCAACCGGCTGTGATTCCCTAGGGCATGGGTGTCAAACAAACCCTCCAGCTGTTGCAAAACTACAGGTCCCATGATGCCTCTGCCTTCGGGAGCCATGCGTGTAACTGTCAGCCTTGCAATGCCTCATGGGACTTGTAGTTTGGCAACAGCCGGAGGGCCGCCAGTTTGACACCCCCGCCCTACGGCTTCACACTGCACATGCGTGAGCCCGCGCTGCACTTTGTGAATGTTGCTGCCGGAGGGCGGGCATGGAGTAGAACTTCTGGTGGATCCGCTGCGGCGATCCAACCGGAAGTGGGAGGGGGTACCTGTCAAAGCTAGGTAGCCCCTCCCCCCAAAAAAACAAATTTCTTCTAAATGTGGCAGAAGGGGAGGAGAAGGAGTGAAGTTCCTCTAAAACGAACAAAAAAAATTTTCCAACATGTGTCTTTGGAAGTTTTGGTCTGAGCAGTCCATTTCGGCTCTTGAAAGCAGTGCACGAACGAACAGGAGATTGAACGACTGTTCCGAAAATGGATATTTTTGTACGACTTTCTAATAGTGTGTACTAGGCTTAGAGTGATTCTAAAGGAAAGATGAAATAAATAACAAACATGTCATATTTACCTGCTGTGTGGTTTTGCACGGAGCAGCCCGATCCTCTAATTTTGGGGATCCTGGCTCCTCCACCCTTCCGAGTGCCCCCCATAGCAAGCCTCTTGCTATGGGGTCCACTCGATCAGGCTTGCTTCTGAGCCATGCTCTGCAGAGCGCAGTTTGGCCCCATCCCTTGCTCTCTCCTCATTGACCCACTGGCTGTGATTGACAGCAGCAAGAGAAAATGGCTCCCCTGCTGTGTGAGCCCAATGAAGAGGGAGAGTCCCCAGAGAGCCGAGGCTCTCATGCACATTGCTGGATCGAGATGGGGCTCAGGTAAGTATAAGGGGGCGAGGAGGGGGGAAACTCCACCCAGAAGGTCCTAGAATGCATTAAGGTAAAAAACCTTGAGCCTTTAGAACCGCTTTAAAGGAGAGAAGAGAATCGAAGATCCACCTAGATACACACATCCTCTGATATAAAGACATAGAAACAATGTATTCAGTCAGTGTGTGTGTTTCCTACAGATGGACCCAGTAGCGGAAACCCACCCGTGAGATGTCCCAGCCCTCTGTATTCCCGGGATTCAGAACCGCTTGGGATCCAAAAGGATGACCAGGTATTTGGAATCCAAGGAAATATGAATTAATAGCTACACCTTACCATTTAGCTTTTCCAAATAAAAATACAGTAAAATACCTCATTACAGCTGGTATACAGTCACTGGCCACTTTATTAGGTCCACCTCCAGTATTGGGTTGGACCCCCTTTTGCCTTCAGAACGGCATTAATTCTTCGTGCCATAGATTCATCATAATTTTTTTTTTTAATTTCTATTCTAATCTATTTTTATTTTTTTTTTATTCTTTTCTATTATTTTATTTTCTGTTCTATTTTGTTTATTTTCTATTCTATTTTATTATATTCTTTTATTTTCTATTCTGTTCTAATCTATTCTGTTCTGTTTTACTCTATCCTTTTCTATTCTATTCTCTTCTTTTCAAAATTCAAATTTTGGAATATGGCTATAGTCATTCTATTCTGTTCTTTTCTATTCTGTTCTATTCTTTTCTATTCTATTTTATTCTATTTATTTTTTATTCCATTCTATTCTGTTTTGTTTTCTATTTTAATCTATTCTCTTCTCTTTTACTTTATCCTTTTCTATTCTATTCTGTTTTATTCTATTCTCTTTTCAAAATTCAAATTTTGGAAGACGGCTATATTCATTGTATTTTATTATTTTCTATTCTGTTCTATTTTTTCTATTCTATTCCTTTTTTCTATTCCATTCCATTCTATTCTGTTTTTTTTGTTTTGTTTTCTATTCTAATCTATTCTGTTCTATTTTACTCTATCATTTTCTATTCTGTTTTATTCTATTCTCTTTTTTCAAAATTCAAATTTTGGAAGTTGGCTATAGTCATTCTATTCTGTTCTATTCTTTTCTATTCTATTTTATTCTATTCCTTTTTTATTCCATTCTATTCTGTTTTTTGTTTTCTATTCTAATCTATTCTCTTTTATTTTACTCTATCCTTTTCTATTCTATTCTGTTTTTTTCTAATCTCTTCTTTTCAAAATTCAAATTTTGGAAGACGGCTCTATTCATTCCATTTTATTATTTTCTATTCTGTTCCTTTTTTTCTATTCCATTCTGTTCTATTTTCTAGTCTAATCTATTCTGTTCTCTTTTACTCTACCATTTTCTGTTATATTCTGTTTTATTCTATTCTCTTCTTTTCAAAATTCAAATTTTGGAAGACTGCTATATTCATTGTATTTTATTCTATTCTGTTCTTTTTTTTTTCTATTCTATTTTATTCTATTCTATTCTGTTTTGTTTTTCTATTCTAATCTATTCTGTTCTCTTTTACTCTATCCTTTGCTATTCTATTCTGTTTTATTCTATTCTCTTCTTTTCAAAATTCAAATTTCCTAAGATGGGTATATCTATTCTATTCTGTTTGTTCTATTCTTTTCTATTCAATTCCTTTTTTTTTCTATTTTATAATATTTCTTTCTTCTATCAGAATAAAAACAAAACCAGCGCTTGAATCTTCATGCTCCACAGTGAAACGCGGTGTCTGTCACTTGTTGAGGTGCAGCCCTCTAAAGATTGGGGAATCTTGATACTACCAAAAGGAAAAACACAAAAGGGTGCACTGTCTTCATGCAGTAACGTGATAAAAAAAATGCATTTATAAAAAAAGTAACAAGTGCATACTCACAAAACAAGGATCATAAAAACAGACAAGGTGCCAAATGTTTCAATCCCGCACAACGGGGGTCCTATAGTGTGACTATCCGGTTGAAATGGCAAATGCGTTTCGGGAGTCAAAGGGAGGAAGGGAGTTGGACTCCCAAAATGCGTTAGCCATTTTAACTGGATAGTCACACTCTAGAGGAAGGGCGTTCGACTCCCGCAACGCGTTAGTAATTTCAACCATATAGTCACACTATAGGACCCCCGTTGTCTGGGACTGGAAACATTTGGCACCTTGTCTGTTTTATATAGGGATAGGAGTTGATCAGGTGTAGACATCCTTGATGAGAAGACGTGGCTCACAATTGGTGTTCCAATTCATCCCAAAGGTGTTGAGTGGAACTGAGGTCAGGGTTCTGTGAAGGCCACTTGAGTTCTTCCACACCAAACTGGTCAAGCCATCTGTTTATGGAGACCGTCTTTAAGCCACGCAGTCAAACTGGAAAAAAAGGGTCTTCCCAAACTTTTACCACAAGGTTGACCTAGTCTTTGTATATGGTAGCATTTCTGGTATCCTTCAGTAGAAATATCTTCCACCACTTGGAGGTGGGTTCACATCAATTTGGCCTTATAGTGGCTGTAAATGGCCAGGTGTCCACAAACCTTTTGGTTTTTTATTTATTTATTATTATAGGCATTTACAATTCAAGAAGTGGGTTTAGTAACACTTTTAAATACAGAGTTTGTGGAAGAAGATGTTAGAACATCAAAAACGTTTTTCGTTCAAGAGGAATAATACACAGAATATATAAATCATTCCTGTTTATATGTAGGTTATACTGGATACAAACCAGACTGACTGCAGTACGGAAGCCAATGAAAAAGTAGAAGATCTATCTGTGATAAGTGATGATCCATGTAAGGAGGAGGAGATCCCTCCAGAGATCAGCACAGGTGAGGAATAAACACTAAATCCAGAGAAGAGTCCCAGATCCTCCTTGTTCAGTCACTACAACAATCTCTTCTTCTCCCCCTCCTCTGTCAGTAGACAGTAATGGGGGGGGACAGTATGTGCCCAGTGGGGGGGTCAGGAGCCATCAGCCTCTATTAGACTCTGGCTCTCCTCCTCACATCATGTCATTGAGACATTACCAGTCTCCCCCCACACACACAACAATCTCTTCTTCTCCCCCCTCCTCTGTCAGTAGACAGTAATGGGGGGACAGTATGTGCCCAGTGGGGGAGTCAGGAGCCATCAGCCTCTATTAGACTCTGGCTCTCCTCCTCACATCATCTCATTGAGACGTGACCAGTCTCCCCCCACACACACTCTCTGGGGTCTCTCATACATCTCAGTACAGGGGGCTTCACTCTCAGCTTTATTCACAGACCCCGGAGACACCAGAGAGACTCGAGAAATGTCAAAGCTGAAGAGGAAGAAGATATTCATGTGGTAATTAAAGAAGAGGAATTTCCTGTTGAGATCAACACAGGTGAGGAATAAACACTAAATCCAGAGAAGAGTCCCAGATCCTTGTTCAGTCCCTAAAACAATCTCGTCTTCTCCCCCCTCCTCTGTCAGTAGACAGTAATGCGGGGACAGTATGTGCCCAGTGGGGGGTCAGGAGCCATCAGCCTCTAATAGACTCCGGCTATGAGCCATGTAAGGAGGAGGAGATCCTTCCAGAGATCAGCACAGGTGAGGAATAAACTCTAAATCCAGAGAAGAGTCCCAGATCCTCCTTGTTCAGTCCCTACAACAATCTCTTCTTCTCCCCCCTCCTCTGTCCGTAGACAGTAATGGGGAGACAGTATGTGCCCAGTGGGGGAGTCAGGAGCCATCAGCCTCTATTAGACTTCAGCTCTCCTCCTGACCTCAAGGTGCACCTTTAGCAGGAGGTGGGGGTGCAAAAGTATTAGGACCTTCAACTTATGCAGCTGAAGTAGATCACAGCTTGGTGGTGGTGATGGTGGTGGTTGTGGGGAACGCAACATTGGCCTTTTCCCTTTGGGTGCTAAAGGACCCTGCCCCTGAACTGTTCACTTTTGTATCATTGTGTGCTACCAGCCAAGACACATCACCAGTCTTCAACCACACACCTTATCTTGGGTCTCTCATACATCTCAGTACAGGGGGCTTCACTCTCATCTTTATTCACAGACCCCGGAGACACCAGAGACACTCAGGGAGACGTCAAAGCTGAGGAGGAGGAAGAAGGATGTGCGAGGATTAAAGAGGAGGAATTTACTATAGAGATCAACACAGGTGAGGAATAAACACTAAATCCAGAGAAGAGTCCCAGATCCTCCTTGTTCAGTCACTACAACCATCTCTTCTTCTCCCCCCTCCTCTAAATATAGAAAATGATAGATTATTAACTTTTTTTTTTTTTTTTTTTTTTAATTTCTGAAAACATTTATATATTTGTCTATTTATGTTACTAAAAGGGATGTAGGTCATTTGTCATTTTATGCTTGCTAATCCTTGAACTATTTCTATCCCCTTCCATTTTTTTTTTTCCTCCAGATGGAAAGCATGACAGGAATGATCTAGGCACGCACCATATTCCATTAGAAAACCCCACTACCCCAACTCTTCTCCTAGTACTTCCCAGTGGAGATCTGTCTGATCCCTCCACGCACGGGGACAGCTTTCCCAATCATTCAGCTGCCATCATCCATCATCCATCAGCCAGAGGAGGTGAAACCTTCCGTTGTTCTGACTGCGGGGAATGTTTTTCCAAGAGGGAACTTCTTGCCTCACACAAGAGCATTCATTCAAAGCCGTTATCGGCTGAGAGTTGCGAAGATCCTCCTCGGAAATTATATGTGATTGAGCATGAGCTGATTCCTATGAAGCCCTACTCGTGCTCAGAATGCGGGAAATGTTTTACCCAGAAAGGACACGTAGTTTTTTGCACCAGAGAACTCACACCGGGGAAAAGCCCTATTCGTGTTCCGAGTGTGGAAAGGGTTTCCCAGCCAAATCGGCCCTCTCTAAACACAAGAGAATGCACACCGGAGAGAAGCCGTTTTCATGTTCTGAATGTGGGAAATCCTTTTCTTTCAATTCGGCCCTGACCAAACACAAGAAAACTCACACGGGGGAGAAGCCGTATTCCTGTTCGGACTGCGGGAGATGTTTTTCTCAGAGAGACCACCTAATCGCCCATCAGAAGACACACACCGGGGAGAAGCCGTTTTTCCTGCTCCGAATGCGGGAAGAGTTTTGCTAAAAAAGGCAATCTCGAAACGCATCAGACAATTCACACCGGCGATCGTCCATATTCCTGCTCCGTGTGTGGGAAAGGTTTCCGCAGTAAATCCAATTTGCTGAGACATAAGAAGGTCCACAGAGGCCTCAAACCGCACGCGTGTTCTGAATGTGGGAAGCAGTTTAAGACAGAATTTGCTCTTAGTCTACATCTTCGATCCCATGAGGCTCCGGGGATAACACTGATAGGATGTAGCCAAGTAGTGTGATTGTTGTCGGTAAAAAAAAAAAAATAGGCAACTTTTTGCTGATTGCTTGTGCTACTCCTTATTTCAAACTAGCTTTGGTCCAGCTCCATACTTGTTTGTTTCTATCTTTGTAGCAACTGAAAAACAACGTGTCTATTTTTCGTTCCATTTTAATCTGGACAGATTTGTACAGTACACTTTATGGGCAAGGATTTGTGGACACTTGATCAACTACTAGTGATATAAGTGATGTGGACTTTCCTCCATATTATTAGGTTGAGTTCCAGTGTTCCCAGTGAAGGATACTGTCATTACTATAACTTACAAACATCTTGACACTTTGTGGGAACAGTTTGGGGAAGGCACTCAAGTGGCCTGCAGAGAACCCTAACCTCAAACCCTATTGAACACCTTTGGGATGAATTGGAATGTTGATTGAGAACTAGGTCTAGTTGTCCAACATCAGGACATGAGCCCATGTTGACTGTGAGCTAGGTCTTGTTTATCCAACATCAGTACCTGCCCCACGTTAATTGAGAGCTAGGCCTTGTCCAACATCAGTACCTGACCCCACGTTGATTGAGAGCAAGGTCTTGTCTTCCAGCATCAGTACTTGACCCCACATTGAGTGAGAGCTAGGTCTTGACGTTCAACATCAGTACCTGACCTCACACTGATTGAGAGCTAGGTCTTGTTTATCCAACATCAGTACCTGACCCCACGTTGATTGAGAGCTAGGTTTTGTCATCCAACATCAGTACCTGACCCTAAGTTGATTGAGAGCTAGGTCTTGTTAATACAACATCAGTACCTCAGACAACATTGACTGACAGCTAGGTCTTGTCGTCCAACATCAGTACCTGATCCCACATTGATTGAGAGCTTGGTATTGTCATCCAATATCAGTACCTGCCTCCATGTTGATTGAGAGCTACAGTAGGTCTTGTCTTCCAGCCTCAGTATCTGATCCCACGTTGATTGAGAGCTAGGTCTTGTCGTCCAACATCAATACCTGAGCCCACATTGATTGAGAGCTGGGTCTTGTCATCCAACATCAGTACCTGCATCCATGTTGATTGAGAGCTAGGTCTTGTTATCCAACATCAGTACCTGACCCCACATTGATTGAGAGCTAGGTCTTTATCCAACATCAGTACCTGACTCCATGTTGACTGAGAGCTAGGCCTTGTCATCCAACATCAGTACCTGACCACATGTTGATTGAGAGCTAGGTCTTGTTTATCCAACATCAGTACCTGACCCCACGTTAATTGAGAGCTAGGCCTTGTCGTCCAACATCAGTACCTGACCACATGTTGATTGAGAGCTAGGTCTTGTCTTCCAACGTCAGTACCTGACACCACAAATGCCCTTTTGGCTGAATGGGCACACATATTCAAAGACGCACTCTGAAATCTTGTGGAAAGCCTTCCCAGACGAGTGTAGGATGTTATAGCTGCAAAAGGCCAACTCTATAATAATGCCCATGATTCTAGAATAGGATGTTCAACAATCTCACATCAGTGCAATGGTCAGGCATCCAAAAATGTGTGGCTACAGTTCACTATATAGCTAGAGGTTTGTGGACACCTACCACTATAGACTTACAAAGACCTGGCGCTTCCAACTTCGTGGCCACAATTTGGGGAAGGCCTTTTTTGCCAGCTCCATAAAGACATGGGATGGCAAGTTTGGTGTGAAGGAACTGTGGCCAGCCCAGACCTCTTACCTCAACCCTACCGGAAGGAGGCAATGCAATGAAAACACTTGGCTGTGGGTATATTTGTAACTTTCTCTTTACTGAAAGCACACATCATCAAATGATACACTCGGAAATGGCCAACAATACAATAAACAGCTTGAAAACTGTGGACATTTGTGCTTCATATATTATTGAACTGTGATAATACCCCTCCTTGTTATGGTGTCATGCACTGATTTAGCTGGGCTCAATATAAGGACGCAAGGTTTCATGAGGTTCATCTGGGGGTGCAAAGGGTTTACATTTGCATAGGTCATCAGATGGGAAAAATCAGCTTACAACACTCTGAACTGCTGGTGATGACAAAGTGTAAGGATGGTGTCAGTGGATGTCCACAGGTAACCCAGTTTGGACATCGCGGGGTATGAGATTCGCTCCATCAGATAGACCTTTTCGAAGGCAGACCTCCTATATCACCTTCACTGAATAGCCCCACCCTTAAATCCAGTCCGGTGACATCACAGGCCCTTCCTCTTCTTTGACCGTGGTGGTGGTGGGTGATCCTCACTCCTGGACAGTGTGGTGCTCATGACAAGCAAGTAACATTCTGTCCTGGAGTACTGTGAGCCCAGAACCATGGTGGTCTGGACCTTGTAGCTCTCCTACAGCTTGTCTATCTGCCCCATTCTGGCACTATATCCACTGGAACATTTGCATTTTGCAGAGCGGAGTAGGATTGGCCATGGACCACTTCAGTTACCATGGATTAATTAATTACCATTGGCCAGCTGAAACATATTGCAATAGATATGAACGAAAAGTACTTTTTTTTTTTTTTGAAAGTTTGCAGAAGGTTCATCCAGGCCACCATGATGTCTTATGCAGGCCATAGATGGGGAGAAAAACGGCAGATTTTTCTTTTAAAAAACGAAAATTCGGTCGTTCAAGCGGCCGACGTTACCATCAATGGTAAAAAAAATCGGCCGATTTTCATCCCTTCTACAGCTGGCAAAAAGTGTCCCTGCAGAGAGCTCCGCTATTTCTGACAGTTCCTTCACATTTACAGCGGTTGAAACATTGTATCTATTTGTTTCCATTTAGGATACAGATGTTTTTATTCGGAAACAAATAGATACAATGTTTCAACCGCTGTAAATGTCAAAGAACTGTCAGAGAACTGTCAGAAATAGCGGAGCTCTCTGCAGAGATACTTTTTTGCTGGACTGGAATTCTTATTTTCATCCTACTTCTTCTTCTTCATCCTCATCCTCATCATCTTCTTCTTCTTCTTCATCATCCTCATCCTCTTCTTCATCCTCATCCTCTTCTTCTTCATCCTCATCCTCTTCTTCCTCTTCTTCATCCTCATCCTCTTCTTCCTCTTCTTCATCCTCATCCTCTTCTTCTTCCTCATCCTCTTCTTCTTCCTCATCCTCATCCTCTTCTTCTTCATCATCCTACTCCTCTTCTTCTTCCTCTTCCTCTTCCCCCTCCTCCTCCTCATCCTCTTCATCCTCCTCATCCTCTTCTTCATCTTCATCTTCATCTTCTTCATCTTCATCTTCTTCTTCTTCTTCATCTTCATCCTCTTCTTCTTCATCTTCATCCTCTTCTTCTTCATCTTCATCCTCTTCTTCTTCTTCATCATCCTCTTCTTCTTCTTCTTCATCCTCTTCTTCTTCATTCTCTTCTTCATCATCTTCATCTCTCTTCTTCTTCCTCATCCTCTTTTCTTCTTCTTCATCCTCTTCTTCTTCTTCTTCATCCTCTTCTTCATCATCCTCTTCTTCTTCTTCATCATCCTCTTCTTCTTCTTCATCATCCTCTTCTTCTTCTTCATCATCCTCATCCTCTTCTTCTTCATCCTCTTCTCCTTCATCCTCTTCTTCTTCATCCCCTTCTTCTTCCTCTTCTTCTTCTTTCATCCTCTTCCTCTTCTTCTTTTTCTTAGTTTTGTCTTCCTCTTGCAGGTCACTGCTCATGCGCAGATTTTTTATCGGTAAAAAATCGGCCGATTTGCCCACTAATTGCCGCGAAAATCGGCCGATCGGCAAAATCGGCCGATTTTTTTCCAACTTTACCGGAAAAAAAAAAAAACCGGCCCAAAATACCGAAAAAACGGCCGACCAAATCGCCCACTAACGATCCGAAAATCGGCCGATTTTATTTTCGGCCGAAAAATCGGCCGATTTTCGACCCATCTATGGCCTGCATTACTCCCAGGTGGTCCCTCCATGATGGCCTGGACTCACAGATAGTGGGTTGGATGATATTCAAGTTGTGCAGCCCCTGATACCAGGGCTGTCTTAATGCCTCGGTACCTGCTGGGCAATTCCCAGGGGCCCCAGGTGCTTGATCTTGCATTACATTATACTTGCCAATTGTTCCGGATTTGCTAAGACAGTCATACTTTTTACTAAGCTGTCCCGGGATGGCTCAGGCAGCGTCACAGAACATGTACTGCGCCCTCCTGATCCTAGTATTGTGCCCCCGTGATCCCAGTATTGTGCCCCCCTGATCCCAGTATTGTGCCCCCCTGACTCCCCCTGTACTGTGCCCTCCTGATCCCAGTATTGTGCCCTCCTGATCCTAGTATTGTTCCCTCCTGATCCCAGTATTGTGCCCTCCTGACTCCACCAGTATTGTGCCCTCCTGATCCCAGTATTGTGCCCTCCTGACTTCCCCTGTACTGTGACCTCCTGAACCCAGTACTGTGCCCCCCCCAACTCCCCCTGAACTATGCCCACCTGATCCCAGTATTGTGCCCCCTGACTCCCCCTGTACTGCGCCCTCCTGATCCCAGTATTGTGCCCCCTGACTCCCCCTGTACTGCGCCCTCCTGATCCCAGTATTGTGCCCCCCTGACTCCCCCTGTACTGTGCCCTCCTGATCCCAGTATTGTGCCCCCATGACCCCCCTGTACTGTGCCCTCCTGACTCCCACGTACTGTGCCCTCCGGATCCTAGCATTGTGCCCCCCTGATCCCAGTATTGTGCCCTCCTGACTCCCCCTGTACTGTGCCCTCCTGACTCTCCCCTGTACTGTGCCCTCCTGATCCTAGTATTGTGCCCCCCTGATCCCAGTATTGTGCCCCCCTGACTCCCCTTGTACTGCGCCCTCCTGATCCCAGTATTGTGCCCTCCTGATCCCAGGATTGTGCCCCCCTGACTCCCCCTGTACTGCGCCCTCCTGATCCCAGTATTGTGCCCTCCTGATCCCAGTATTGTTCACTCCTGATCCCAGTATTGTGCCCTCCTGACTCCCCCAGTATTGTACCCTCCTGACTCCCCCTGTACTGTGCCCTCCTGATCCCAGTCTT